CCCCCCCCTCTTTATACAGAATTATAGCCCGTTGTTGTTTTTAAATCTTCAAAGTTTTTGTAAATATGGGCAAAGGGAGGCAATCCATGCCATATGCAGAGTTTTTTGATACATTTTATACAGGAAAGCATCAGAGCCAGTCAGATAGACTATTACGTCTGAGACTTTGTTAAGAACTTGAGTCTAAAATGAAAGTAAAACATGCGATGGGCGTGTATGATGCAATCATAACGTCATCAACAGTTCTACTAAGTCGAACCTTACCTAAAACATCCAGTGTGTCAATACGCTGGCATTTCCCAGGCAACTCTCCAGTCATTGACTGCTCATGACATGAACCCAGTTTCCTGCCTCTCGTGTTGTTATTTCCCGAGCTCCGAGTGCTAGTTGCGTGATACACTTTGTCCTGTTCACTGTCAAATTCTCCGGAATTCTGGGGACTCCCGGCATGTGCCCTTTTAGCCTGATCATCGGAGCTTGAATGTGATACCTTGGTCGCCTGAATGTGCCCCTCTCTTGAGCTCTGCGTGGCACTCGCGTGGAAGGCTTTGGATGATGGCCTACCAACCTCTTCTGAGCTGGGAGTGCTCCTCGGCTTGAAAGTTTTGGCAGCGGAATCAAGAATTTCTCTTGAGCTCCGAGTGCTTCTCGAGTGGATTTCTCCTGAGCTTTGAGAGCTATACGGGCGGCACATTTTGGCTTGAGGACTATTAGACTTCACAAAGCGGTCCTCTTGGTCCACTGATTCAAACACCTTTGTACCAACTCCATCACCAAAGGACAGACCAGGGCTATGAGTATACAAGTTAGGCGAGATACGGTTTACAGGGGACACAATAGAATCCTGACAATCTGGTCGTACAAATTGGATGGGTAATGTTCCACTGTGGTCACAAGAACTCTGGGTATCATCAAAAAGTAGCTGGGACGCCTGGTCCTCTGATACAGATTTAGGATTATTGATATGCTGTGTTTGTCGAAGTAATGACTCCGACATTACTGAATCGTCGTCCGAATCTTCCGCGACCGAATGGTCCACCTACAACAAACCTAGGACATTAGTAACGTTATATATATATATATATATCCTGTAGTATAACCACCAGAATAAGACCAGTAAATAGACAAACATATTTTTTATATTTTAGACCACGATTAAATAATGGGAACCTTAACAATGCTTATAGAGAAATGGCAGTCCAAGCACAGATTTATGTGAAGCCCTAAAATAGCATTAGCGCAGTAGATGAACAAGAAATGCCATGGTTGGTCTAAAGGAAAGTGTGAATCACAGAATATATTAATTAACGTGTGAAAATGTACTCAAATATCCTACCTTACGAGACCATGTTGATGTCTGTACGGGCAACACAGGGGATAGTGTTTTATCTGAAAAAGACAACAGTACTCGATATGAGGAATAAAACGGTTACTAACATACATAGTAGTTACATATGCTTATACGGTTATTTTAAATATCAAAATCCAAAATTTAACGAACATTTGTAGAAATTTATAATAAACATTAAAAGAAAAAAGAAAAAATGCAAATATTCAAAAAATTACATTCACAACCGTCGGCTAATCAGACTGACGAATCAGGCGCTGTCGTTTTGTACACCTCACTTGTATAGGGTTGAACATTGCTTTGTTCTAGATCATTTGCGGGATGGTTCGAGTTACTCTCAAGACTTTAAATGAAACAGTTTTGCAGAGTTTGTCTCGGGACCAAATCCATACCTCGCCCCCATGAGCGTGAACATGACAAGATTCCGCATTACATTAACCAAATCCATTGATTATCCTGTCTGTGACACTACGAGCTTACCTGTGATATCCGTTTGAAGAACTCTTTTATTTTCTAGCCTAAAACAAACAAAAGTACGATCAGGAATCACAAAGCAATATGTTATTGATATTAATGAACTGAAACAGCAGGTGATATTAGACCATATCTTGATCAGAGTGAAGACGTTTACTTGCCATAACACAGCGTGACGTACTATCAGATTAAGACATTTTCTCTACCAAATCGCGATATGTAGCTGTTATTTGTTTACAATTTGATATCTCGTGCCAATTTACATAAAGTGTTTAACAGATCATTAACACCACAACAGAAAAACAAGGCTTGACAGTTCAAATAGTCAACAGTTATAATACACAATGTATAGAATACACAGCAGATTGTCTCGTGTAACGTCAAGGTACTGTAGCTGATCGCGTCGTGGTAAGGCCGCCATCTTTGAACGGTCACTTAATACATGAGATTTGTGTTAGATGCGAGACATTCACCTCGTTTTAGAATGATCTTAATGTCCTGTAAAGTCAATACGTCGTCTATGATTATATTATTGTCAGTTGATTACCTTGTATCCGGTACTCAAGTGGTTGTCGTCATTACTCTATATGATTTGTATGTACTTACAGCGAAAAATGGCTGTTAATTTGTGCGTTCTCATAGAGCGTAAAATGTTAATCAAATTGTGAGTTCTCGTGGTTTAAAACGCCAGTTAATTTGTATGTATTCATGGTTAAAACCATACCTCAAAGTTATTACTGAAGTACTCTTCGTTTTTTTATTAGAAACTTTAAGAGACAATTACAAGTGGATATTGCTATGTTTACTGGTAAAATTTTAAAACTATTTACGGTTGTTGCGTAAAGACTCAGTAACAAAGGAGTTGTTCACGGCCAAGTTGGCTACAATTTCACTGTCTGTTGCTCGCATATTTATTTAGATTTAACCTGATTAAACGCGCTGTATTGCTAAGCACTTAGTGTTAAAGGATAGACAGTGTGAGAATGTTCTACCTGTACACAAAGTTGTTTAGTGATAAATCTGAATAATAAACCCGTGTCTTTAAGAACATTCGACGTATACCGGACATATTACTGAAGAGAGATCTGTTAAAAACCTGAAAGATTCCGGAATTAAAACAAAGAACCGACCAAAGAAAACGGTCAAACTCCTGTTTCACCCGAGATCACTCACGAGATAGGGTAACGTATTGCTTCTTATACCAGTATACTTACTTACACTCACCGTGTTAAAAGTCATAACACTCTGTCACTAGTAATCACAACGTTAGGTAACTAATTGTTACTGATATCTCTGTGTTGCTAGTAATCACAACGTTAGGTAACTAATTGTTACTGATATCTCTGTGTTGCTAGTAATCACAACGTTAGGTAACTAATTGTTACTGATATCTCTGTGTTGCTAGTAATCACAACGTTAGGTAACTAATTGTTACTGATATCTCTGTGTTGCTAGTAATCACAACGTTAGGTAACTAATTGTTACTGATATCTCTGTGTTGCTAGTAATCACAACGTTAGGTAACTAATTGTTACTGATATCTCTGTGTTGCTAGTAATCACAACGTTAGGTAACTAATTGTTACTGATATCTCTGTGTTGCTAGTAATCACAACGTTAGGTAACTCATTGTTACTGATATCTCTGTGTTACTAGTAATCACAACGTTAGGTTATTTACTGTTATCCCTGTGTCACTAGTAATCACACCGTTAGGTAACTAATTGTTACTGATATCCCAGTGTTACTAGTAATCACAAGGTTAGGTAACTAGCTGTTACTGATATCTCTGTGTTACTAGTAATCACAACGTTAGGTAACTAATTGTTACTGATATCCCTGTGTTACTAGTAATCACAACGTTAGGTAACTAACTGTTACTGATATCCCAGTGTTACTAGTAATCACAACGTTAGGTAACTAATTGTTACTGATATATCTGTGTTACTAGTAATCACCACGTTAGGTAACTAATTGTTACTGATATCCCAGTGTTACTAGTACCCACAACGTTAGGTAACTAGCTGTTACTGATATCCCTGTGTTGCTAGTAATCACAACGTTAGGTAACTAATTGTTACTGATATCCCTGTGTTACTAGTAATCACAACGTTAGGTAACTAATTGTTACTGATATCTCTGTGTTACTAGTAATCACAACGTTAGGTAACTAATTGTTACTGATATATCTGTGTTACTAGTAATCACAACGTTAGGTAACTAATTGTTACTGATATCTCTGTGTGACTAGTAATCACAACGTTAGGTAACTAACTGTTACTGATATCTCTGTGTTACTAGTAATCACAATGTTAGGTTATTTACTGTTACTGATATCCCAGTGTTACTAGTACCCACAACGTTAGGTAACTAACTGTTACTGATATCCCAGTGTTACTAGTACTCACAACGTTAGGTAACTAACTGTTACTGATACCCCTGTGTTACTAGTACTCACAACGTTAGGTAAATAATTGTTACTGATATCTCTGTGTTACTAGTACTCACAACGTTAGGTTAATAATTGTTACTGATACCCCTGTGTTACTAGCACTCACAACGTTAGGTAACTTATTGTTACTGATATCCCTGTGTTATTAGTACTCACAACGTTAAGTAACTTTCTATTACTGATATCCCAGTATTACTAGTACTCACAACGTTAGGTAACTCATTGTTACTGATATCTCTCTGTTACTAGTACCCACAACGTTAGGTAACTAACTGTTACTGATATCCCTGTGTTACCAGTACCCACAACGTTAGGTAACTAACTGTTACTGATATCTCTGTGTTACTAGTAATCACAATGTAAGGTTATTTACTGTTACTGATATCCCTGTGTCACTAGTAATCACAACGTTAGGTAACTAACTGTTACTGATATATCTGTGTTACTAGTACTCACAACGTTAGGTAACTAATTGTTACTGATATCTCTGTGTTACTAGTACCCACAACGTTAGGTAACTAACTGTTACTGATATCCCTGTGTTACCAGTACTCACAACGTTAGGTAACTAACTGTTACTGATATCTCTGTGTTACTAGTAATCACAATGTTAGGTTATTTACTGTTACTGATATCCCTGTGTCACTAGTAATCACAACGTTAGGTAACTAACTGTTACTGATATCCCTGTGTTACTAGTACTCACAACGTTAGGTAACTAACTGTTACTGATATCTCTGTGTGACTAGTAATCACAACGTTAGGTAACTAATTGTTACTGATATTTCTGTGTTACTAGTAATCACAATGTTAGGTTATTTACTGTTACTGATATCCCTGTGTCACTAGTAATCACAACGCTAGTACCCATAACGTTAGGTAACTTACTGTTACTGATATCCCTGTGTTACTAGTACTCACAACGTTAGGTAACTAACTGTTACTGATATCCCTGTGTTATTAGTACTCACAACGTTAGGTAACTTATTGTTACTGATATCTCTCTGTTACTAGTAATCACAATGTTAGGTTATTTACTATTACTGATATCCCTGTGTCACTAGTAATCACAACGTTAGGTAACTAACTGTTACTGATATCCCTGTGTTACTAGTACCCACAACGTTAGGTAACTTATTATTACTGATATCTGTTACTAGTACCCATAACGTTAGGTAACTTACTGTTACTGATATCCCTGTGTTACTAGTACCCACAACGTTAGGTAACTTATTATTACTGATATCTGGTACTAGTACCCATAACGTTAGGTAACTAACTGTTACTGATATCCCTGTGTTACTAGTACTCACAACGTTAGGTAACTTATTGTTACTGATATCTCTCTGTTCCTAGTACCCACAACGTTAGGTAACTAACTGTTACTGATATCTCTGTGTTACTAGTAATCACAACGTTAGGTAACTAATTTTTACTATTATCTCTGTGTTACTAGTAATTACAATGTTAGGTTATTTACTGTTATCCCTGTGTCACTAGTAATCACAACGTTAGGTAACTAACTGTTACTGATATCCCTGTGTTACTAGTACTCACAACGTTAGGCAACTTATTGTTACTGATATCTCTGTGTTACTAGTAATCACAACGTTAGGTAACTAATTGTTACTGATATCTCTCTGTTACTAGTAATCACAATGTTAGGTTATTTACTATTACTGATATCCCTGTGTCACTAGTACCCACAACGTTAGGTAACTAACTGTTACTGATACCCCTGTATTACTAGTACTCACAACGTTAGGTTACTAACTGTTACTGATATCCCTGTGTTACTAGTAATCACAACGTTAGGTAACCAATTGTTACTGATATCCCTGTGTTACTAGTAATCACAACGTTAGGTAACTAACTGTTACTGATGTCCCAGTGTTACTAGTAATCACAACGTTAGGTAACTTACTGTTACTGATATCCCTGTGTTCCTAGTACCCACAACGTTAGGTAACTTATTATTACTGATATCTGTAACTAGTACCCATAACGTTAGGTAACTAACTGTTACTGATATCTCTGTGTTACTAGTACTCACAACGTTAGGTAACTAACTGTTACTGATACCCCGGTGTTACTAGTACTCACAACGTAAGGTAAATAGCTGTTACTGAGAACTCTGTGTTACTAGTACTCACAACGTTAGGTAACTTATTGTTACTGATATCTCTGTGTTACTAGTAATCACAACGTTAGGTAACTAACTGTTACTGATACCCCAGTGTTACTAGTACTCACAACGTAAGGTAAATAACTGTTACTGAGAACTCTGTGTTACTAGTACTCACAACGTTAGGTAACTTATTGTTACTGATATCCATGTGTTACTAGTACTCACAACGTTAGATAACTCACTGTTACTGATATCCCTGTGTTACTAGTAATCACAACGTTAGGTAACTAACTGTTACTGATATACCAGTGTTATTAGTACTCACAACGTTAGGTAACTTATTGTTACTGATATCCCAGTGTTACTAGTTCTCACAACGTTAGGTAACTAACTGTTACTGATATCCCTGTGTTATTAGTACTCACAACGTTAGGTAACTTATTGTTACTGATATCTCTGTGTTACTAGTAATCATAACGTTAGGTAACTAACTGTTACTGATATCTCGGTGTTACTAGTAATCATAACGTTAGTTACCTTACTGTTACTGATATCCCTGTGTCACTAGTAATCACAACGTTAGGTAACTAACTGTTACTGATACCCCTGTGTTACTAGTACTCACAACGTTAGGTAACTAACTGTTACTGATATCCCAGTGTTACTAGTAATCACAACGTTAGGTAACTAATTGTTACTGATATCTCTGTGTTACTAGTACTCACAACGTTAGGTAACTAACTGTTACTGATATCCCTGTGTTACTAGTACTCACAACGTTAGGTAACTAACTGTTACTGATATCCCAGTGTTACTAGTAATCACAACGTTAGGTAACTAATTGTTACTGATATCTCTGTGTTACTAGTACTCACAACGTTAGGTAACTAACTGTTACTGATATCCCTGTGTTACTAGTACTCACAACGTTAGGTAGCTAACTGTTACTGATATCCCAGTGTTACTAGTACTCACAACGTTAGGTAAATAACTGTTACTGAGATCCCTGTGTTACTAGTACTCACAACGTTAGGTAAATAACTGTTACTGATATCTCTGTGTTACTAGTACCCATAACGTTAGTTACCTTATTGTTACTGATATCCCCATGTTAGTAGTACTGAAGCTTTATGTAACTTTCTATTACTGGTACACCTGCGTTTTTAATACCTACAACTTTAGGGAACCTACTATTCTCTTAACCTTTTGTACATAATACATTCCCAGCACACACACAGGCATACACACATAGGGAGATATTAGCCAGGTGGTAAAGGACTAGTAGTTAGCGCCTGATAAGGCAGCTCCTGCGAATTCCTCAATATTGTATTGATTAATATATATGCTAATTTTAATGTCTGTATACAATTGTATATCTATGTACTGTAAAGCGCTTTAGAGTGGCGTATGTTCGCTATAAAGGGCGCAATATCAAATGTTGTATATTACTATTATTACTAAATGACAATCACAACTTTATTTAATTCGCTAATAATCATTATTAACTGCTACCGATTCACACTCCTGCATCACCACCGGTTTGTGTATTGCCCCGTACTTCCTTCTTCGGCCACTGATGGCACCCAATTTTCCACTTCGATCCCCTGCACCGACCTAAATTCATTCCCGTATGGTGACCTATACTTACATCCTTAGGCCGAGAAGCGACTTGTACGGTGACTTTAGATCACCAGTCTCGTCACTGTTCCTTGTGGTGTTAGTTACTATGGATACTGCATCGTCACATACTTCCGGAACTATGGAAACTCCGTCGCCATATGTCTCCGCCATCTCTGTAGTATAGATCAGGTAATCAGTTGAGGTGTCAATGGGTGTCATCATTACATACATTTGAACAAAAGATATAACGGAAGTTGATGTTTTTCTAACCTTAACGTTCTACAGTGCATGTTCTCATTGGGTGCGTGTGCATCAGTTTCGACAGTAAGTGCACGAACAATCTCGAGTCAATTTTCACACTACCCACTGTAACGTTGGTAGAACAGGATTACCGATGCATTGATGTGAATTGACATTACACTGCCGTAAGAACAGTCCCTCCCAGGATTCCCAGCGCTAATTGTATGTGTCTACGAAGACACCCATCTTTGTATGACCTGATACGTCAAAAGGGTATCCGGCTCAGACTCAGTTCTATAATTTTAAGATGTGCGGAAAGTAGCACAGCAACATTTTGTTGACCGGAGGGGAAGCTTCCATTTTAGAAACTGAGGGGAAAAAACCCATGTGAGATTAACTTTAACTATCAAGTCAAAGTATTTGAGGAAAGAGATGACGAACTGTAACCACAGGTAAGGAAATATTTCATCAATACAGAGATTGCGTAGATATCTGCATTAATCCTTTCTATATTATTCAATTTAAAAGACTTTATCATATAACTAATCTGACGTTGTGATTTAAATTTTGTGAAGATTACACAACGCGGAAACCGGGAATACACAGCGGATGTATAACGTCACAGAACCCAAATCGGGACACTTGAAGGGAAAAGTCACAAGAAATTTGCATGCTGTGCAAAGAAGGATTTTTAAATTGAAAATGTTGATTTAAAGATGCTAATATACCAATAAAACATTAAATGAACTTTATTTACTGCCACTTATGGTTACAATCAGTTTTAGTTTGTAAATAATGACGAAAATGTAACGTTCTAAATTGATGCGCCATGCGACGTTATTGATTTTCAATTTTTGTATGTGACTTTTCACAATCCTACTATTTCACAACTAATGGTAGTTTGGAAAAGAAATCCATTCATAACGACCCTTGACTCATAAATATTCCAAAGATATGCCAATTAAACATTAAATGAACTTTATTTACTGCCACTTATGGTTACAATCAGTTTTAGTTTGTAAATAATGACGAAAATGTAACGTTCTAAATTGATGCGCCATGCGACGTTATTGATTTTCAATTTTTGTATGTGACTTTTCACAATCCTACTATTTCACAACTAATGGTAGTTTGGAAAAGAAATCCATTCATAACGACCCTTGACTCATAAATATTCCAAAGATATGCCATGTTCTGCTAAATACTTTTTTTCATCTCCAAATATAAGCCAAAACTGGTAGGGGTGTCCCTATTTGGGTACAGCTACACCTGTTTCGCGATTACGTAACAATGACTATATTTCCGGTTTTATTTAAGAACCAGGCGCCGGAATTATTAACTTGTGTTCAACATGAAAAGATAATGATATAAAATTTAAGAAAAGTGAACAAAATTACTGGGATGGGTACTATGGTATGAAATACATCATTATTTCACTAAAACGTGTCCCGATTTGGGTACTAAAACGGTACATGACTACTCGCTCACAAATACATCCGCAAATCAATCCGATTTTAAATACTAAAGTAATGAAATCAAAACATGTGTTATTCAATGTAAGAAGAGGAAAAACATCCACCAACATTATTTTATCACAATATGTTGCGCAAGTAAGTGGCGTTTACAAAGGTGAATAAAGCGTCGCGCAAGTAATTCTGTTAGAGCTTCAAGTAGTCCTGGTAGAGCTATACAAGAAACCCTGTTAGAGCTTCAAGTAATCCCGGTAGAGATTAAAGTAATCCTATTAGAGCTTCAAGAAACTATGTTAGAGCTATACAAGAAACTATGTTAGAGCTTCAAGTAATCCCGGTAGAGCTTAAAGAAATCCTATTAGAGCTTCAAGAAACTATGTTAGAAATACAAGAAACTATGTTAGAGCTTCAAGTAATCCCGGAAGAGCTTAAAGTAATCCTATTAGAGCTTCAAGAAACTATGTTAGAAATACAAGAAACTATGTTAGAGCTTCAAGTAATCCCGGAAGAGCTTAAAGTAATCCTATTAGAGCTTCAAGAAACTATGTTAGAGCTATACAAGAAACTCTGTTAGAGCTTTAAGTAATCCTGGTAGAGCATAAAGTTATCCTATTAGAGCTTCAAGAAACTATGTTAGAGCTTCAAGTAATCCCGGTAGAGCTTAAAGTAATCCTATTAGAGCTTCTATAAACTATGTTAGAGCTATACAGGTAACTCTGTTAGAGCTTCAAGTAATCCTGGTAGAGCTATACAAGAAACCCTGTTAGAGCTTCAAGTAATCCCGGTAGAGCTTAAAGTAATCCTATTAGAGCTTGAAGAAACTATGTTAGAGCTATACAAGAAACCCTGGTAGAGCTTCAAGTCATCCTATTAGAGCTTCTATAAACTAGGTTAGAGCTATACAAGAAACCCTGTTAGAGCTTCAAGAATTCCCGGTAGAGCTTAAAGTAATCCTATTAGAGCTTGAAGAAACTATGTTAGAGCTATACAAGAAACCCTGGTAGAGCTTCAAGTAATCCTGTAAGAGACCATTCTCGATGTCCAGGGGTTACGCCCACTTTCGCTCTCTGCACCCCTGGAATATGTCATAGCAAAATTGAAGGCTCAGTTTGCGCCACTTTGTTGATGAGACAAGAAGACTAGTTCGATCAATTGATGTACATCAAAAGAATCTCGCGGTCACATAACGGTAAAAATTGACAGGCTTTGATGTATGGCGTCTCTCCTTTGTAATCTTCAAAGGAGGACATATATCAGCCTAGCGAGTTGTTCCTTGTTTTTTATTACCTGAGATCAATCAAATAGTTATCTTCGTGCCTTCAATTTTCCTATGACATATTCCAGGGGTGTAGAGAGCGAAAGTGAGCGTAACCCCTTGATATCGAGGGGGTAAAAGCCACAAGTAGCACCACAATGTACCCTGATAGAGTTACAAGTAACCCTGGTAGAGCTTCATGTTACCCTGGTAGGGCTATAAGTAACCATGATAGAGCTACAAGTAACCCTGGTATAGAGATATATACAAGTAACCCTGGTAGAGCTACAAGTATACCCGGTAGAGCTACAAGTAGCCCATGTAAATCTACATGTAGCCCTGGTAGAGCTACAATTAACCCACCTAGAGCTACAAGTAGCCCTGGTAGAGCTACAAATAACCATGGTAGAGCTACAAGTAGCCCTGGTAGAGCTACAAGTAACTACAAGTAGCCCTGGTAGAGCTACAATTAACCCTGGTAGAGCTTCAACAAAACCTGGCAGAGCTACAAGTAATCCGAGTAGAGCTTCAAGTAACCCTAGTAGGGCTATAAGTAACCATGATAGAGCTACAAGTAACCCTGGTATAGAGATATATACAAGTAACCCTGGTAGAGCTACAAGTAACCCCGGTAGAGCTACAAGTAGCCCATGTAAATCTACATGTAGCCCTGGTAGCGCTTCAAGTAAACCCGGTAGAGCTACAAGTAGCCTTGGTAGAGCTTCAAGTAACCCTGGTATAGAGAACTATACAAGTAGCCCTGGTAGAGCTTCAAGTAAACCCGGTAGAGCTACAAGGTGCCCTGGTAGAGCTTCAAGTAACCCCGGTAGAGCTACAAGTAGCCTTGGTAGAGCTACACGTAACCCTGGTAGAGCTACAAGTAACCATGATAGAGCTACAAGTAGCCCTGGTGGAGCTACAAGTAGCCCTGGTAGAGATACAAGTAACCCTGGTAGAGATACAAGTAGCCCTGATAGAGATACAAGTAACCCTGGTAGAGCTACAAGTTACCCTGTTAGAGCTACAAGTAGCCTTGGTAGAGCTACAAGTAACCATGGTAGAGCTACAAGTAGCCCTGGTAGAGCTACAAATAACCATGGTAGAGCTACAAGTAGCCCTGGAAGAGCTACAAGTAACCCCGGTAGAGCTACAAGTAACCCTGGTAGAGCTTCAACAAAACCTGGCAGAGCTACAAGTAACCCGAGTAGAGCTTCAAGTAACCCTGGTGGAGCTTCAACTAACACTGGTAGGGCTACAAGTAACCCCGATACAGCTACAAGTAACCATGATAGAGCTACAAGTAGCCCTGGTAGAGCTACAGGTAACCCCGGTAGAGCTACAAGTAGCCCTGGTAGAGCTACAGGTAACCCCGGTAGAGCTACAAGTAGCCCTGGTAGAGCTTCAAGTAACCCCGATAGAGCTACAAGTAGCCTTGGTAGAGCTACAAGTAACCATGGTAGATCTACAAGTAACCCTTGTAGATCTACAAACAGCCCTGGTTTAGCTACAAGTAACCCCAGTAGAGCTACAAGTAGCCCATGTAAATCTACATGTAGCCCTGGTAGAGCTACAATTAACCCACGTAGAGCTACAACTAGCCTTGGTAGAGCTACAAGTAACCATGGTAGAGCTACAAGTAACCCTTGTAGATCTACAAACAGCCCTGGTATAGCTACAAGTAACCATGGTAGAGCTACAAGTAGCCCTGGTAGAGCTACAAGTAGCCTTGGTAGAGATACAAGTAGCCTTGGTAGAGCTACCAGTACCCCTGGTAGAGCTACAAGTAGCCCATGTAAATCTACATGTAGCCCTTGTTTAGCTACAAGTAACCCTGATAGAGCTTCAAGTAACCCTGGTTAGAGATATATACAAGTTACCCTGGTAGAGCTACAAGTAGCACCGGTAGAGCTACAAGTAGCCCATGAAGATCTACAAGTAGCCCTGGTAGAGCTTCAAGAAACCCCGGATAGAGATATATACAAATAACCCTGGTAGAGCTACAAGTATACCCGGTAGAGCTACAAGTAGCCCTGGTAGAGCTTCAAGTAACCCCGATAGAGCTACAAGTAGCCTTGGTAGAGCTACAAGTAACCCTGGTATAGAGATATATACAAGTAGCCACATGTAGCCCTGGTAGAGCTACAATTAACCCACGTAGAGCTCCAACTAGCCTTGGTAGAGCTACAAGTAACCATTGTAGAGCTAC